CCCAGATAGCAAGATAACATTTTTTGATTGTTTATATGTTATTACTTTTTTAATAATGACATTATTTAATCATTTGGATTTCATCATATTTTGATTAAATAATATGATATTAATGATTATATATTGTTGTTTGGCCACCGGTTTGAAATTAAATAAACATCAAAAACATAACATCAATATATTGTTATTTTGAAAATTATAATAAAACCATACAATTGTATTATTTTAAAAATATTGTTCCCCTAACATACTATTGATAATATATATCAAACAATTATCAAAATATATAAATTTGCCATATTTTTTACGGTTAATAATATGTTTTATATGATGTAAATATAATAAAAAACATTAAATATGTGATTATTTAATGTCAAATGGCGGGGTGGGAGAGTTACTCATTATGTATTCTATGATAATAAGACTAGGTATGGGTAACTGAAATAATAAATGACTTTAGCACCTCTAATTTTTTTTTTCATTGAAATTGCGCCCCTGTACATTATTTATTTATTTAATTAATTAATTATTATATTGTATTTAAATGAATTCCAACAATTATATGTTATGATGTACTTGATATAGGAAGGAAATAATGAAAACTTAAAAACGAAAAGAATATTGTAAATCCATTTTTTTCATTTCCATGTTAATAACAGTATATATTATTATTTTTAATTAATAATTGTATTAATATAAGAATTTAAACAGATATAAATATTTATACTGCAGGTACGTCTTGACCATAAAACATAGTATTTAAACAAAAATTATATTAAGATGATAGTTCATTAGAAATAGGTAGATTTTTCTTTGGTTCCCGGAATTTAGCTCCAGAAATAAATGTTCTTATGGGTGTCTCAATATCCACAGCATCGCTTAATTTGAATTTTTTCATTTGTTTTATTGCATCTGAAAATCATGAAATGTTTAAATATATTAATTCATTATATATTTATTTGCTACAAAGCAAGTTGTATTTATTATATAATTAACATGTTATCACCAAGTAAAAAAATAACAAAAGTAATACACATGGCAATACTATATAATACTGGTATAGAAACATTTTTTGATTATTACTTAATTATTTGGCCTGATAGTGGCACAGTGGATTTATTCTGAGTAAGTCATAAGGTACCTAACATATTTTTATAGGGGAACATAAAACATTTGGTTATATTTTTAATTGTATTATACATTGACTTTTTATTGAGTTTTAAACTTAAAAACAAATTTAATAATACCAACTATTTTAAGAACCACTACTGCTATAATATATTTTGGTTTTTCTTTCACTTCAAGAATTTTTTTTTATACATGTTAATAAAAACAGTCATAATAGCTAGTACCCTACTATTGTACTTTAATTATTTATTATTGCTAAAAAATGAAATCAGTGTAATACCTATGTAATGGTAATTATAGCTAATAATTGTATTATAAGTTTTTATTATATATTTATAAAAGTTTAATCAAGCTTAAGGAATAATTAGAAATATTATATTTAACTAAACAAATTCTCACCAAAAATTACTGTACATGTAGCCAAGGTATAGAATACTTTCTTTTTTTTCAAACCCTTGTAGCTAAACTTTTCAAGCAATGCATCTGTAAAAATTTTTCTTAATATAATACGCACAGTACTGGGCAATGTGCTACGTGAAAAACGTTTGAGCTCTGCAATCTGTACAAAATTAATAATTTATACTATTAATATAAGCGTATAGCATATTCAGAATTTTATTTTTACCAGTTTCATTCTAAATTCTTTATTGGCTGTAAGTTTTTTTTTCAAATTCCTCCAGCTCATCTTCTGTTTCCAATGGAAGATTTGATAGTTCCATTTGGAATATATCTTCAGTATTTTTTTCTGTAGATGAATGATCAAAGCGACTTGGTTCCAATAATAAAGTATCATACATTTTATCAACCTTCTCATTTAATGAATTAATATCATATTTTATATTACAGATCGTTCTATTCATTTTTTGAAGAAATTCTATATAGGGATTAAAAATAAATTATACATTAATATATTTATAAAATTAACATTATGTTGTAATTTAATTTATATATTACTCACCAAGTATTCCATTTGGTGCTGATATTTGTGGTTCATTGGAAAAGGATGCTGACTGTTGTGTATCTACATAAAATGCATCAGAAACCTTAAATGGTGATGATGATGTGTTGACTACACCAATGAAAGATTCATCAATAACATGTGTAATCCCCTCTAGAATCTCATCTAGCAACAATATAAATTAAATTAAAAATATGTGCATTTTATGGAATTAATTATTGCACTTGAGATATTTTATTCAAATATTGGTCCATTTTTTTTGTTCGTGTCAAGCAACTTTTGTATATAAATATGATAGACGTACAATTAAGACTAAAATTAACAAAGTGAGTAGATAACATAAGATAAATCAAACAAAACATATATACAATAGATTATAAATCAATTTATTAAGACAATTCTTAAAGTATGTATTACCAGTGATTTTTGTTGTCTTATCAGGTGTAGAAATTGGACTTGGAGAATGACTTGTTTTATTGAAATTTAATTTTTTTTTTACGGCAATAACAGTGCTTTGAGAACTATTAGATATTTGTGAAGGTAATCTTGTCGGGATTAGCTGTATAGCTGGAGAACTTGGCGTACCTATATTAAAAACAATGCTTAAAACTATACATTTTTTTTAAAATACTATTATAAATTAGGTGTATCCCCTTACAATTAAGTTCATATTTTCATAACTTCTCAAAAAAAATTTTTTTTAAATATTTAATATACATCATACATTAGGTAATACCATTTAATATTTATTATTTTAGTATGCAGTGAGTTTTCATCTTTTATTTAAAATAGAAATAACATAAAAATGAACTGTCATTTTTTATTATTAGTATTTATAATTCAATGTTCTAATTATTATAGTCAGTGATTAATTATATTTTAGTTACTAAATACACATATGGCTTACTTTATCAATTACAACTTACCAGATAATACCAGAATACTTTCTGCCATAGGACTTAAATTTGATTCTCTGTTGGTATTATAATTGTCATCAACTAAAAATATGTTTTTATACTTTTATAATAAAAATTGGAAAAAAATGAAATTTCTTAAATTTAGCAATAATATAAATTTATCAACCAATACTTTCACTTGAAGATGGATTCCATAAAACAGTATTTTCTTTTTGTTGACATTTATCTTTTTTTTTAGTTTTTAATGTAGGTTTCATATTATTGTATTTTTGCTTGGTTGGTGTTGTTGATAAGTCGGATGTATACTCTGCCTTTTTAGCTTTTTCCCTTGCTAAAGTATAACTATCTAAATAAAAATAAATATGTTATATGTGAATAACATACAATAATCATACAATGAATAATTTCAATAATGTTCAGCTATATAGGTATTAAGTTATATAATATACAGTACATACCTCTATCTTTTCCCATTTTACGAGCCTTTAAAAAATCGAACTCAATTTCATTTGGTTTGATCCTTTTCTGAATGAATTTTTTTGAATTTTTTTTCGGCCAAGCGCATGTATTTTTGTTTAGCCAATAGGCCGGTACCACTTCAACGGAATTATCATCAAAGAACTCTACTACAGACCACATTTCAAATGCCAAATGTATTCACAAATATGATTGAAACTGAATACAAAACCTATAATTTAATACAATAACTAGTAATTATATATTATAAGCACTTACTAACAAAAAAAAAAAATTTGTATTTAAGATGAAAATTATAAATTAAGTATTTACTATTTAGACTTCTTATTCTTTATTATAACCAGACAACAAATGTTAATAAACATATATTATGTAAATATAGGTATTAATTAATTATGTAGATACCTACATACATTGATATAATTATGATAAATGGGCTTGATTTTAAATATATTATTCATAATAATTGACATAAGTAGCACTTATATATAGAATATAATTTAATACAATATAAGGATGAGCATAAAACATTTTTATAAGGTTCCTAAATATTAATAGTTGAATCTTGAATGAATAATAGGTATTACAATCAAATCATTATTATTAGATGGTAACAGAATCATTTTTTTTTTAATATCTTTAATATTAAACTCATGAAAATTATTACTTAAATTTTTAACAACATAAATATCTAGTTCACTAGATTTTGTAGGTTTGATAAATAACTCATTTTTTTTGTCAAATATTTTACAAATAAGGATTACGTCTTCTGAATTTTCTTTCTTAATTATGTTGACAATTTTTACTACTTTTTTTTCTTGAGTTAAAAAGTATGAATCTCTTTCCAGATGTGTTTTAATTGTCATGCTTTTTAATACCAAAGTGGTAAACTGTTTTCCTTTTATTGAACTTGACAATGTAGGACCATGGGTATGGAGTCCAGAAAAATAAGGTGCATCATTTTTAGTTTTAGTGTTAGACTTAAGTGAACAAATTTCACTGTATCTTTTGACAACTTGCTCCAAAGGTTTATGTGGTTTCCTTAACATTCTCTTTAAGCACCCCATGTAGTTTTCAAAAGGGAAGGCTGAACAATTATCTAGTGGCCCAAATTTGTCATAATCATCACATAAGTGCGTTAAACCATGAATGTTATGAGAAATGAGGTAACGGCCATAAATAATCTCAAAATCTTTAACAAAACTGTCTAGTAATTGACGTGCAACATTAATGTATTTCAAATGATCAGGACTTAATAAAATAATCATAGATATACTTAAATTAAAAAAAATTATTCCAGTGTTGATCTTTCAATGATGGTTTAGTAACTATTATGCCATAATATAGTAAAAACATACGAAATTCCGTTGCTTTCCATCTATTTACTTCATCTAAGTTCCTAGGTTTTCTTGCAAACTCACAAGGCATTTTGTTTTTAATAGTTTGAATATAACTGGAGATTTCTTTGATTTTCCATGATGGATAGCGAACTTCATTGGGTCCTTTCATCCATAATAATATTAGTTTGCGAACAGTTCCCAGACAAACCAAATGCATATAATCTAGACAGAACCCAGTCGTTATATCAAAATTGGGCAAAGTTGCTAAAATAGAGATATTTAAAATATGATACTCCTCTTGTGTTTTCAAAACATAATTATTATGTGTTCGCTTGGGTGGACAGTTATCAGGCGAGGTATATGGAAAACAAATTCTGTTTGACAAATATTGGCCTTCCTGCTCACACCTGGAGCAAGAAAAAAACCTGAATGTCCCTTAGTTTTTAAAATAAATGATTTCGCAGGCGCGTCACAACAAAAAACATCTATCGAAAGTCTATATATTTTATTATTTACATAAACACCACTGTCAATTAATTCTTTTGCTTCATCAACAAATTCTTTTAGGAATTCATTACTATCAATGGGTTTTACTTTCCCACAATAAATCCCAACTGGAAATACTTCATTGTTATTTGGTCGGATATATGCAAGGACAGGCCAAAATTGTTCAGGGCTACTTTTAAAAATTGGCAAACCATCGATTCCAACAACAATTTGAATTATTTCATTTTCATTAATACAATCAGGGATATTTTGTTTAATTCCATTCAGAATACCGAAATGATAATATTTCCCAGGCTCCACGGCAGAACAATTTGAAGTGGTTAATTTTTTTGTATTTAAAATAGTTCGTGAATCAATAGGTAATGCTTCAAAACATTTATGCTGTTTTAATAGTTTTAATAATGCATTAAGTGCATTTTGAGAAATATTAAATGAAACTGCCCACTGAGCAATTAAAGTACTAAATAATGATAACTGATCAACATCATCATTAAAATAAGTTATATCTTCATTATCTTCAATTTCTTCATCAGAAGATGAAGTTGACGATGAAGAGTGTCTCAATTCTTCATAATATTCTTTATCATTTGTGATATCAGTATTTGTTAAGACAGAATCAATGGCTCTTAAGGAAGTTAACGCGCCAGTACTAGCGACAAGTATATTTTTTGATTTCGGTAAACTAGGTTCAATAACTAAATGGGATGTTGAATTTTTTTTGAAGTTGGCTAATTCTATAGGAAATTCTACTTCCTCTTGTACCCTTCTTCTTTTTGACCGATCACTTAGGCAATACTTTTTTTTGTAAGACATTCTAACCTAACCAAATTATAAAAACATTGATATAAGTAATATTATTATTGTATGAGCCACATAAACATGAATGATATAATTATAATACACTTTTCAATCATCAATGTAATTCAAATAAAGGTTTATAAAATAAAATAATAATAATATTATTAACATTCATGTATAGACGGTAACTTATAAGTAGATTAATTTATATTAATTTAATTGAAAATTATCTTATTTTTAAATATTACATTTACCTATATAATATCTATTATATAAAAATAAGTCCGGTTTTCCTCCCTGACGCTATAACTCGAGAACGCACGAACCGATTTCCACGGTTTTGCATTCGTTGGAAAGGTCTTGGGCTCCGTGAGGTTTATAGCAAAGAAAATTCTGGAAAATTCAGGAAAAATTCAACAGAAAAGTGGGGAAATCGTTTTTCACATACAGCGCCATCTATTATACATAGCATGTACTTCAAACCAATAGCAACGGTGCGTGATAAAGTGTTTGACGGATAGTTGTTTATTATATAGTTGACGGATAGTTGTTTACATTATTCTCTGCTCAGTTAATTTAAATTATGTAAATTATGTGGATCGTGCATTTGAAGTTAAATTCAACACTCTGTCCAGAGTGCTCTGTCCGATTACTATGCGTATCGTATGATGATTCGTACACATGAGGAGAATGTCATTCTGAAGTGCGGTCGGCTATTCCAGCAATTTGCTGTCGACATGTATGTCAAAGTCGAGACCGAACGTTTAGCGTTCATCAGATTCAATCAGCCAAAGCTACGATCTGAGGACTATATACACTTGCGTGATGCTATTCATTCAGATGGTGATGTTCAGAATATTGGACGACTGACGGTTCTCCCATCAACTTATATCGGAAGCCCACGCCACATGCACGAATACGCTCAAGACGCTATGACGTACGTGCGAAATTATGGAACTCCGGATTTATTTATTACGGTCACATGCAATCCGAAGTGGACGGAAATTGAACGCGAGTTGGAACCAGGTCAAAAACCGCAAGATCGCCATGACATAATCGCCAGAGTATTTCAGCAAAAACTCAAGGTTATGATGGATGTGCTTACTAAGTATCGAGTTTTTGGTGACACACGTTGTTATATGTACTCGGTGGAATGGCAGAAGCGTGGACTACCGCATGCTCATATCCTAATTTGGTTGCTGAACAAATTACATTCAAATGAAGTGGATGACATCATATCAGCTGAAATTCCTGATCCAGTCACTGATCCCCGTCTACACGACATTGTGACGACACAGATGGTGCATGGACCGTGCGGTGCATTAAATCCATTATCGCCTTGCATGGCTGATGGAAAGTGCACAAAACGATATCCGCGACCGTTAGTTGCTGAAACAGTCACAGGGAACGATGGATATCCAGTTTATCGTCGGCGTTCAAAAGAAGATAACGGTCGAACTATCAAAGTTAAAGTTCAAAATCAAGAGATTGAGATCGGAAATGAATTCATTGTACCATATTGCCCGCTGCTATCACGAATTTTCGAAACACATGCAAACGTTGAGAGTTGTCATTCGGCCAAATCAATCAAATATTTGTGCAAGTACGTCACAAAAGGCAGCGACATGACTGTGTTTGGTATTGCGTCGGAAAATGTGAATGACGAAATCAGCAACTTCCAAATGGGCAGATACGTCAGTACTAATGAAGCACTGTGGCGATTATTGTCATTTCAAATTCATGAAAGATATCCCACAGTTGTACATTTAGCAGTGCATTTGGAAAATGGCCAAAGAGTTTACTTCACTGAGGCTAATGCGGCACAACCAGCTGAGAGACCACCATCAATGCGTTAGAAATAATGTTCCGTTGCTGAATGAACAGCAAAAACAAGTATACAAAACATTAATGCAAGCGGTGGACAATAATACTGGTGGTCTATTCTTCCTGGATGCACCTGGAGGAACAGGGAAAACATTTGTCATTTCATTGATTTTGGCCACTATTCGATCAAGATGTGACATAGCTTTGGCGTTAGCATCATCTGGAATTGCGGCGACTCTTCTAGATGGCGGTCGTACTGCACATTCTGCGCTTAAGTTGCCACTCAATTTAAACACAATTGATACTCCAACGGGCAATATTTCCCGATCCAGTGCAATGGGAAAATTGTTAATGCAATGCAAGCTCATTGTTTGGGATGAGTGCACAATGGCACATAAGAAATCACTTGAAGCACTTAACTTCACACTGAAGGATCTTCGGAGAAATAACAACATCTTTGGCGGCTTGATGATATTGTTGGCAGGCGATTTCAGGCAGACGTTGCCAGTAGTTCCCCGTGGAACGCCTGCAGATGAATTGAATGCTTGCCTAAAGGCATCACCTTTATGGAATAACGTAAAAACATTATCGCTAACCACTAATATGAGAGTTCAACTTCAAAATGATCAAAGTGCTGCACAATTTTCCAAACAATTGTTAGATCTTGGAAATGGAAAAGTCCCAGTTGATGCGACATCTGGATTAATTACTCTTACCAACGACTTTTGCCGATTTGTAGACACTCAATTAGTTCTTATTGAAAATGTTTTCCCAAACATTAGTGAGAATTATAAGAATTATGCTTGGTTAAGTCAACGAGCAATTCTTGCAGCAAAGAATAATGATGTCCACGCACTGAATTTCACCATTCAATCAAAAATTGCTGGCGATTTGGTGACATACAAATCCGTTGATTCAATAACAAATCCCGATGATGTAGTAAATTATCCAACGGAGTTTTTGAACTCTCTGGAGATACCAGGATTTCCACCACATAACTTGCAACTGAAAGTTGGTACAGTTATTTTGATACTGCGTAATTTGAATCCACCGCGACTTTGCAACGGTACTCGACTTTCGGTAAAGAGACTTATGCCGAATTTAATTGAGGCAACCATTATTAACGGAAAGTACGCAGGCGAAAATGTATGTATTCCTCGAATACCAATGATTCCGACTGATCTTCCGTTTGACTTCAAACGATTGCAATTCCCAGTTCACCTTGCGTTCGCAATGACAATTAATAAGTCGCAAGGCCAATCGCTTAGTGTTTGCGGGATAAATTTGGAAAATCATTGTTTTTCACATGGACAGTTATACGTTGCGTGTTCACGAGTTGGGAAACCATCCGCTTTGTTTGTGTTAACGTCAAACCAAAAAACAAAAAATGTGGTTTACCAAAGAGCACTACAATGAAACAATTAAATAACACTTCATTTTAGTAGGTAATTGAAATGAATTTATTACTGTTGTGAAATGAAATAAATATTTTCCTTTTCAAATATATAACAAAAAAAATTTTTTTTCTTTATATTTTAATCACCAAACGAAAAAAAACATAAAACGAATCTGGTGGCGAAACGGAGTTCGCCGGGTCTGCTAGTTATACTATATATTTTAATACATTTTTAAATCAAATATAAATATATTTAAAAAGTCACACCAATTAAAGTCACATACCTTTGTACAGAATGATCCATTTAACGCATGCGATAACATGAGATAATAATAATAGTTTTAACAAAAACATGTTCTCTTGTAACACTTTGAATTATTTTAAATTAACATTTACAAAAACATTAATCGTTTTTTTAAATAATGTGTGTCTTATGATAAATGGATAACCCAGTATATAATATAGGCATTTCAAATATTTAAAAATCAAATTAAATTATTATAAGTAGATATAGGTAGCTCAATATAATATAACCTATAATATAATTGATTTAATGTACTATGTATGTAACTTTATATCATGTACCTAGTCTTTTTTTATTTTATTAACACCAAAATTATACATATTCTTATTAACATGGCATGTTATAACATTGTTATATTACATACAACATACTGCTATAATTTTATTTATCTAAAATTGTATAAAAATGTATCTTTAGTATGTATTCACTATTTAGGTGATCCGGTCAAAATATATGAGCTACCTATATTTAATTATAACATATATGTAGGCAATTTGAATGGAATGAATAAATAAATAAATGAATAGATTGTACATTTGTACCTATATTATTCTATTATATTACCTACATGATAGTATATGTAGGTAGGTTAATGTATAGAGTTTACTTTATTACAATAATAATAATTATAATCACATGTACCTACTACTTAAAATAAAATAGGAAATATACATATTTACTTACTGATGGTTAATGACAATGTTAAATGCTATTCAATTATGGTATTTAGCGAGGTATTTAGGTTATAAGTTTAATAAAAACTTAATATTTATATTATGTAGCTATATATTAATCGAGGTGGATAACATTTAAAACATTAGGTACTAATACTTACTGTTATTATATAATTACAATAAATAATTTAAATATAATAATAATAATATGTACCTATCATACAATTAAAAATTGTGGATAATCACATAAAATTACTTACCGAAGATGCAGTTGAGTATATTAGCTGGCAATTTCATAAATTGTACACTCACGACTCACAGCAAAACGTACAACACTACTATGACACTATATAATATAGTACACTACAACAGTACAACACTACAACGTTCAAATATGAAATAATGGCAGTATGGGAGTATGGCACTATATAGCCACTATCGGTCTAAAACAGGGTATATAGCAATGATAAGACTGTTGACTGTTGAGACGACACGGCGACGGCACACAATAAAGGTTATTACTGGGAAAATCATAAATCGATGTAAAACCCCCATCATTGTTTATCTCAATTCTATTTTTATTCAATGACAATTATGTTATTGCATAATGCGTTGGGTCGCCACTCGCCGTGTCATAGTCCAGATTATAATAATAGGTATAATAATAGACAGTCATAGATTCGGTACACGGCGACGTTTAAAATCGAAATAATTCAATTTACGACAACGACCACTCGTTACAACGAACCTTCAGGCCGGGACTATACACGGCGACGGTGTTTCCGCGGTGTTTTCCGTCGAATTAAAAATGCATTGGTTTGTATCGGAGTAACTATATATAGTATATACACGACGGCAGAAAACGACGGTCGGCTTGGGTTTTTGAAAACGCTATGTATTATAGGTATTATATACATCTGTCGTGTAGGTATAGGCGCATATACATAGCTACTCCGATATAAATACCAATGCATTTTTAATTCAACCGAAAACGCTGCGGAATAGGTACGTGGCGTATAGCCCCAGCTTCAGGCTATATATATAATAGTGGCTACAGCAATTTGATAATTAAAATAAATTAACCCCTCACGGCCTCACCTCTAACAAATAAAATTTTTAATTACAAAAATATTTACACCACCATGAAGTATACGAAAAAATTACCATCTCTACATAAAAATCTTCAAATATTATAATTTTTTATAAAATATTTCAAAACAATTGTCAATATAAGTGGTTCCCTGTACTGATTCATTCAATTTCGTTTCAACTTTCAAGTGCAATATTTAGAAATGAAAAAGTTCATATAGAGCCAGTGTTTGGAAAGAACGTCGTTTAAAAATTTAATGAATTTGAACGATTTTTAAGACGTTCAAATGTATTTACTATTTAATAAATATTGATTAATCAAACTATAGTATAGATAATATTGTATAACAATTATAATTTATCCATTATAATATTCCTATTATATTTATTTGATTACGAATTATAAAAATAAAATACGTAAAATTCCAGTTGGCACAAATCGAAATATATTATATAATCGGTGTATTAATTTTTTCAAAGAACATGAACGTGTTCATATAAAAAAAATATGAAGGTAAACGTGAACGAATTAAATTGTCTAGTGTACGTTCTGAACCTTATAAGTTAATATAATACCTGTATACTGTATATATAGGTAATATGTTTATATTATTATGTATATCAATTTGAAATATCTTTTTATTCAAACATTTTAATGAACTGTATTTGAGGAGTTAGGACACTTATATAGAACGTTTAAAATGTATGAAATCTATTGTGAATATTTCAA